TGATAGTCATTTTAAGGAAGTGTCAGAGGGAGAGAGAAAGAGGGAGATGAAAAGTTCCAAAGCTGCAGATACCACCCAAGCAACCCGCACAAAGAAAATGGCAAATATGTTTGCCTGTGGGAGGAGGAACCAGAGAACAGATAGCTCAGAGGGTGGGTGTCTGGTTAGCCTATAAGGGTGGAGAAAGGAGGTCCTTACAGACTTTGGTATGGTTTTGCTGTTGTCTTCCTGTCTGCCTGACTCTGCAGTTGGCACTAATCCCAGCAGCTTCCTGTTTAGTTTAGTTTCATTTCTCACAGACTGGCTACGAGGGTGTTGTTTCTGAAGCCATGGCAGAGGCAGAGGAAGAATTCAGAACAGCTGCTGACCTGGAAGATGAGCTCAGCTGCCCTATCTGTCTGTGCTTCTACAGCAACCCTGTCTCCCTGAGCTGCCAGCACAGCTTCTGCAAGGAGTGCATCCAGAAAGCACTGGCTGCCCAGCAGCAAGCCAAGGCCACCTACTCCTGCCCTATGTGCAAGGTCCAGCTGGGGCCCTTTCTGGAGCTGCATAAGAACTTCCAGCTCTGCAGCATAGTGGAGAAGTTCCAGACGGCTTCTTCAAAGGGAAAGCAGGGCAAGGAGAAGGCCTCTCCGCAAGGGAAGGAGACAATCCCCTGTGATTTCTGCCTGGAGCAGCCTCACACAGCAGTGAAAACCTGTCTGACCTGTGAGGCATCTCTGTGTCAGGCCCACCTGAGCAAACACAATGCCAAGGCTGCACAGAAGGATCATGTCCTGGTAGACCCCAGTGACAACAGCTCCCTGCAGGAGAGGAAGTGTGGCAAGCATGGCAAGCTGCTAGAGTGTTACTGTGAAGATGACCAGGTCTTCGTCTGCGTGATGTGCTCTATCGCAGGCTCCCACAAGGGCCACAGCGTCATCTCCCTGAAGGAGGAGTATGATAAGGAGCTGGTAAGGGGCTTTCTGCATCTCTGTTTGACGGGCACAAATTCCAAAGGGGATCTTTATGTACAGCCCCTGCTAGAGCTACACTCAGTGTGATAGTTCAGTTCAGGGTGGAAATGCTAGGCGGGTAAGGGAAGGATTCCCCAGATTATTCGGGACAGGGGGTAAAGGTAGGATTTCCATTCGTCCTCATCTTCCCGGACATGTCCGG